AGATTGTTTAATCAGTTTCTGATCCAACGTATTCTGCCAACTTAGCTTGTGGGTTAATAATAATCAGTTTAAGTCCACTGGTTAAGTGTAGCCTGTGACTTTAAAAAACAACAACCACGAATTGCAGGAATACACAGTTTGTTTAGGATATCCATAGTTTGAGAATAGTTTATGAAATTAAAAAGAACAGAGGTAAATGTAGGCACGCACCTTGTTCCAAATCACACTACTGCTCAATTTAGCTTACCTAGTTAGTTTCCCAAGGTCACAAAGAAAAAATGGCTTCTCCCAAACTAAGATAGTTTGCCTTTTCATCAGTAATGCTCCCACTCCCACTCACCTCTCTGTATGAAGGACCAAGTTTAAATATGATTGATTTTCTTAACAGTAAGTTTTCAGAAAATTCATTTTAAGGATCTGAAATTTCTCAGACATCACAGGCAAAATCACACCCATGCACTCCAACAAATCTATGTATATATCTGTATGTTTATTTACTGTTTCTTGAATCTATATGTTTTCTTCTCATGAAGCAAATTGGAAAGCCATGGAAAACAAAGACAGTCCCATCAACACCTCCTTCCCAAGAGCTTTTGGAGGTCCCACAAAGTTAAGGAAGAGAAACACAACTTGAAGAATTAATAGCTCCACCAGAAAAGTTAAGGAATACTTTTTCAGTAGCTCAAGACACAAAGCTAAATAATGGGCCAACAGGAAAAACCAGAACCACCATGGTTAAAAACAAATTTTAAACAGAAAAACAAAATTTAAAATAATCAGAAAAACAAAAGGTAAAGCTGAAACATTAAAAATATGCTTCAAGGGAAAAAATGGGGTTAAAGAAAAAAGTAATTATGTTAATATACTGTATCTATGGATGCATTAAATTTGTTAATACAGTTGTCAGCCCAAAGAACTTACCATGTATAATGTTACAGAAGAAGAAAACAGAAGAGAAATGGAGGCAGGAGTGAACAGGATTAAAATAAGTGAGCATTTGGCTTACACATGTGTAGGACTAATTTCAGTGTTGCTTAAAGTTAGAACTCCCACAAACCTCCTTGCAATAATCCACAGGTTAAAAATAAGTTAAACAGAGGTGAAATGTATCAGGGAAGGAATCATAAAACAAGAGTTATCATAAGATGTCTAACATAAGAAAAAGTATGAGTGCACTTCTCTAAAAAGAGCAAAAGGGAGAAGTGGGGTTTAGGAGGTAGCAAACAGATTAAACTGTTTATTAGGAAAGAAATTGAATTATTGCTGCTTCTGCAGTAAATTACCTTGAAACCGTCTGTATTTGGCAGTGTGTAGTTGCTTAAATAGATAATCTGATAGCAAATTCTGGGCCAAGATGGAAGTGGGATTATGTTGTAAATTGCCTTGAGACCTCTGGTAATAAGTTACCTATAATGCTTAATTGCTTAATTAGTTGAGCTTAATGATAAGAAAAAAAAGAGACTGCAAATAAAGGGGGCTGGAGGGGCTGCATGCTGCCAGCCCTCCCCAATGTAACGCTTAATACAGAATACTGGTTCAGCTGTTTGTCTCAGCCATGCTTTATGCTTATATCAATAATATGCAAATATAATCCATAAAATGTATATTTATTACATAATACAATCTACCCATATTATGTGTTGAAATCTATCCCTAGGTATTATTTCTCTCTCGAAAGCTGTTCAGATATTGTGGGAGTATACACCCCCCTAGATATCTATACACATAAAATATAAATAATGTGTATGCTAAAAATATAGATGTGTCTTTCAATATGAAGTGTGTTTGTGTGTGCCTTTGAGTGACACTTTTCTTGGCAACATTTGTCAGAAGAAGTTTGCCACTACCCTCTTCCTAGGGCTGAGAGGGAGCAGATGGCCCAACATCACCCACTTGGCTTTTGTGGCTAAGGCAGGACTAAAACTCAGGTCTTGCTGCTCGCAGACCATCGCCTTTAACCACTACACCCAACTGGATCTCCATACCAAGAATCTACTAGGCACTTCTGAAGGCAAGCTCCTAGGGGACCCTGTTGTTTATGTACCTTGCGGAAATTTATGGAATTTCCTGGATGCGTTGAGTGTATGGGAAATATGCTAAGTCACCCCGCTGGTTTCATGCCTATGGCAGGACTAGAACTCAGGCCTCCCAGTCTCTCATATGAGGTGTACATATACATTTTCTAAAGAAGTACAAATAATATACCTGAAATAAATAAATAAATAAATACACACACACACATATATATACATATCTACATAGGTGTAAATCTATCTACACACACAGGTGTACTGTGTATATATATATATATGTGTGTGTGTGTATACGTATATGTATATATATCAGGTATATTATTTATACCACTATATACCTAATACACACAACATAAAAACCTATGTATGTATTTATTTATACACCAGGTATACTATGTGTTGCTCTATATACCTGAGGTATAGATAAATATCTGCAGGCGGGTATGCAGATGTTTATTTATGTGCCAGGCGTATTATTCATACCTCTTTAGCAAAGGTAGATGTGTGTGTACATTATATCCCTTCCCACCGTTTTTCCCGCACGGCGGCCCCTCAGGAGGGACCGGCCCGAAGCGCCCCAGCCGGCTCGCCTGCCTCAGGCGCGGCTGGAACGCGCCGCCTCCGGCTGTCCAGCCCGGCGCCTTCGCCGCGAGGCCCGGCTGGCTCTCGCTACCTGCATCCAGGCGTGCGTGCGTGCGTCTTTCGCCTAGCATTATTTATACCCCTCCGGGTAATGGGGTGGATATAAAACGTCCGCGCATGCGCGCCCCTCTCGCTCACCTGCAGGTACGATTTACACCGGGGTTCCTCAACCTCAGCGACTTTAAGGCGGGTGGACTTCAACTCCCAGAATTCCCCA